AGAGAATAAAATCAAACGCAATTCTTTCATTAATTTTCTTATTGCAAATTTTCCACAAACAACCCCCAACCTCAACCTCACATTCACCCACACCCTCACCTAACCCTAACCCTAACCCTAACCCCCACCCTCACCTAACCCCACCCTAACCCTAGCCCTAACCCTAACCCTCACCGAACCCTAACCCTCACCGAACCCTAACCCTAACCCTAACCCTAACCCTCACCTAACCCTAACCCTAACCCTAACCCTCACCGAACCCTAACCTTAACCCTCGCCTAACCCTAACCATAACACTAATTAAATTTAATTTTTTATATCATAATTTCATCAAGATTAACATTTTTTATTAGGGTTTGGGTTTTTTACACTACTTTTTTGTTTTACCAAAATTAAACTCTAAATATAAAAATTAAATTACAATTTCAAAAAAACAAATCCGACTCTTACCTCCCCGACCTCAATTTCTCACTCCTCTCTTCGCCGACGCGGGCCGAGCCGACAACGCCCCCGGTCTCGGCGGCGCAGTGGTCGCTCGGCGGGCTCCGTCAAGAGAGATGGGAAGGAAGTGAAGGGAAAAGGAGATTAAGATGAGAGGAGAGGAGAGGAGAGTTGAGGGAAGCAAGAGGCTACCCCTCCGCGGCAGAGAAACGTCGGAGAAACGGCGCGCCGGGAGGGGCGGTGGGGGGCGGAGCTTCCGAGATCGCGGAATAAAGGAGGAGGAGGGAAATTTCGGAAGGTGGGAGGGGAAAAGGAGGGAGAGGGGATTTCTCTGTGCGAGAGAACGCTACGGTTTCTTTAACTCGAGAAAGCAATTGGAGAAGTTTCCGTCTACACGGGTTTGGGACGATAAACTCTCTTTGATACAGCGTCTCTCTGGGTGGCACTTGTCTCGATGGCCCCGTCCACTGAAGCCGACAAGTTTAGGGTAGGTATGTTGGCCCTCCCTCTTGAAGAAAGCCATAATGGGGAGGTGAGGAGAGAGGAGTCCGACTCTGCCTCTAGACCCCAAAAAAGGTTGAGGGGGAATCTCGACCCTTAGGAGACGTCCGACTTAAAATCACAGGTGGCCAAAATCGCTGCCGAACTGGCAGGGCGGAGAGTGAGGGCCAAGTAGATAAAGGTCAAGAAGGGCCAAGGCCCGAGCAGGCCGACGGGGCAGGTCCAGGTCAGCTTGGCTAAAGAGCAATAACAATAGCCATCCGAAGAGCAGCCACCGTCTGTGGTCGTTGTCATCAATGACCCTTCCCCTTCTATGCTTGAGGAGGTGGCCCCAACAGCTAAAGTTGCTGAAGTTGGGGGCCCCGTCGAAGAGGCAGTTGAGACGACCTCTAAGCTTGAGCCGTCCCATAGGCCAGACAAGGAGCCTGTCGGGNGCAGGTGAAGCTGTCGAGGAGCAAGAAAGTTTATGGCCTTTCGCCCACTGGATTTCAGAGGTTGACTCCTAATCTTGGGAGGAGGTGAAGGCTATACTGGTAGGAGTGCCACTGGGCCCCTGTTCGCCTAGGAGGCAACTCCCTGAGGGCGATAGGTTCGTCGCGTAAGCCTCTCTCGACAGGGAGACTTCGATTTTAGGGTCCTTCACGGCCCCAATCATAACTGTCCAGCTGTTTACCCTTCCGAAGGATGAGGGGTTCTTGAATGGGATGCCAAGCTTTGGCTGACATTTGGCCCTCAAGGCCCACTTGGTTCGGGGGGCTTTGCTGGAGCAAGAGTTGTACGAGCAACTCCGACACATCCATGATTCTCCGCAGGGGTGGCAGGTGGAGCTGGTGAAGGAGAAGTCGACCAAGGAGGAGGTAGAGAAGAAGATTGACGCCTTGGAGGCCAAACTGAATGGCATCGAGGCGCGCTGGCACCGAGAGGTGGATGCAAGGGAAAAGGTCCTTAAGGGGATTCGATCTTATAGCGCCAAACAAGCAGCTTCGATCGTGAAGCTCCAGGATGAGGTAGCCCGGCTAAAGGGGGAGGTCAGCCGCCTCCAAGAAGGAATTTTCGAGCGGGATGGCTGGCTGACTGCTTTGGCTGGGGAGGTCGAGTCTAAGAGGCCTAGGTCTTTACAACCCTGAGGCTATGCCTAAGACTTGTTGAAGTCAACTAGGTCTTTCATCCCACGGAGGGCCACCCCTGATGGCAAAATGGCAAAGGACAACCCAGAGGTTGGGTGCCCAGAACTTACGTAGATGCCTGAAGCTTCAATGTAACCATGATGGTCAAGTGGTGATTGTTGGAGTCGACCATATGGTGTGTGCCTTGGGTTTACCCTAAAAAGGCACTAAGGGCTTAAAATTCAACCAAGAGATTGAATGCCTAGGTCCTACTAAGGATGTCTAGGTCTTTCGTCCTACTGAGGACCGTCATGAGGGCAATACGGTGAAATGACAACCTGAAGGTTAGGTGCCTAGGACTTACGTAGACGCCTAGGGCTTCAATATAGCCACGATGGCCGAAAGGTGAATGAGGGAGTCGACCATATGGTGAGTGCCTTGGGTTTTCCCTGAAAAAGCACCAAGGGCTTAGAATCCTTACATAGGCTGAGCACAGCGAGAGTGCGAGACAAGAGTCAAGTCAGTTTTAATAACAATTTTATTAAGACCGAATGAAATTGACAGAATTACTAAAAATATTGTCTCAAGTCCAAGCTTATTAGGTACTCGCTCTTATCTCCTCTAATCACCATGGTTCTCGAGGTCTGCAATCAATCCCTCATCTTATTTTTTTAACTCTTTAGGATTTTTTTACAAACGATTGAAGATTGAACCCCCATAGGCTACGATGATTTGCGTTGACAACTCGGAGTGGATGAGGAACGAAGATTACTCGCCGTCTCGATTCCAGGCGCAGCCCGATGCCATAAAACTCATCTGCGGTGCCAAGACTCAAGTTTTTTTCTCAATCCTGTTGCCGGATCTAAGCTTGATCTAGCCGATACCCTAGCAACTCTGATCCCCTCGCTCAGCCGGATCTAAGCTTGATCTAGCCGATACCCTAGCAACTCTGATCCCCTCGCTCAGCGGCTCAGCCTCAAATTTTGACTTTCAACTACTCCTCGGGTACCCATCAGAATCGCTATCGGATCCAACATCGGGTCGCCGGTTCAGATCCGCAAGTGTCTGTATACTGACGCGGCCGCTGCTGGATCCCGTTATTGCCTTCTTCTTCTTATCCTCTCTCGAACTCATCGTCGATGGATAAATCGAGAGATTCGGAAAAGAGAAAGGATGAATCTTCTCTTCTATCTCTTCAAGCTCTTTACGATTTTCTTGATGGACTTGATTTTCTTCTCCTCTTTTACTGATGAACTTAGATCTCTTTTTAGCTTTTATTTATTGGGTGGAAACTGGGCTAATGGGCCTAGATCCATTATTTGTTGGTTGAGGATTAATTCAATAGTGACTTGATGAAGGGGTTTCTTTAGTTTGCTTGGAGTAATTTTATTGTGTGGTTTACTTGGGTAACATTTTGTGTAGACATGAAGAAAGTTGATTGTGCGTTAGCAATTGTTTGGCAATTTGTCCAATTACTGACATTGACTTGGATAACTTGAGGATTACTAAATAGTTTGGGTAACTTGAGGATTTTGTTGTTAGCAGAATGCTTCTTTTTAAATTGGTAGTATTATAGATCTTTTTGTTACAATGTGGGAGAATTTTATGAAATTTAGATGTTTGGTAATAATAGTAATAAGCTTGGAGTTGAGTTACAGTAATATTCATGTTTGGTAATGATAGTAATAAGCTGATGGGTTGAATGTTAGTAATATTAAGTGATTAGTGATTAATATTATTAGTAATATTAAGTGATTAATGATTAGTTTTATTAATGAATCTGTTTACACGTTTAAGAAAGTAAAGTTATAAAACAACATGTGCTTTGCAAGGGCATGAAAACTAGTTTCTTTAAGAGTTGAAAAAAAATCTTTAAGGGAGACAAATAAAAGACGATTTGTGTGTTTATGTGCAAAACATCTTAAAGTTCAAGGGTTGCGAGGAATTAAATAGTTAAAAAGAGATTATGTTCGAAACTCCCAAAGTTAAGAGGCTTTTCACAATTGATATTTCAGGTCAAAAAATTAAACTTGAAAGGAATATTTGCTCCAAAAGGAACCAGATTCATAATATAAAAAATCTATGAAGGGATTTATATCGACAAAACACAATAACAAAAACGTTATCAATTACGTATAAAAAGTACGCTGCATTCGTCCAAATACGCACTCTCGATTCTGCCCCCCTCCCTTACACTGTTTCAGATAGGCATTGACTGATTCGAGTACTGTTAACCAAAAAGAGGAGTGTGTTTATCAATTGCGGATAAAATATGCAAAATCGAAAAATCTTGTCTACTTGTAATAAAAAAACTTTAGCTCTCTGAGCCCCATTATTCTCTTCACAAATTTACAAAGCTCTCTGTCCAATATAATAATTATACAATAATAATTATTTCTTATTTAGCTATTCGACTCCCCAATCTCTCGCTTCGCTTCTTCTTCCGCTTTCTCTAGGGCAGCCCTCGGTTTTTTTATCGGGCGGAGGAGCTAGGTACTCGATTTCTGATCAATTTGAGCTCTGATTTTTCTGAGCACATGAGTTTTTTCGTGGATTTGTGATGTGGGTTTTTGTCAAAATGCGATTTTGCTTCGATTTGATTATGGGTTTTGGGGGTTTTTGATGAAAGGGAAACTTATGAGGGTTTTTGGATTGGATTGTATTTCTTTCTTTATTTTGTTAAAGAGGAATCTGAACGAGTGGGTTAATAGAATGCGTTTGAGCTGAAAATTGACTTTCTTAGATATTTTGAGCTGAATGGCTGAGATTTGATAGGAATTTCCCATTACCTAATTTAGGTCGTTTTTGGATACTTTGAGCTTGAATAAAGCATATATTAACGGAAAATGTCTGCAATCCGTTCCATTTTATAGTTTGAGATTTTAATCAATAGCATGCATTAAGGTTGGTACCTTTCTTACTTTTGCAGGTTGAGAAGGGAGGAAGGAGGAGGAGAGGGAGGGGGGGGGGGGTAATTTAGCTTAATTTTAATAAGAATTGTATTGAAGAATGTCTGGAAGTAGTACAGCTGTGGATTTTGCATCTGGCGGGAGGTTATCAATGGAGGATACGTCGAGTGGCCAACGTTGCATGTCCGATGACTCTTTTGCAGAGTTGAGGTCATGTGGGCAGGTCGAAAATGGAACCCCTTCAACTTCACCACCTTACTGGGGTACCGATGATGAGGACAATGATTGCGGTATGCTCTTCCCTTATAATTCAAGTTGGTTATAATTCATGACAAATTCGGGGATAATCTTTTATATGTATCTTTTTTTAAGGTAGTTGGTGGCATAAGCTAATGTACCTTACAGTGTATTACTAGCTTTAGATTTTGAGCTTGCATGTGAAGCTTATGCGGAAGAATATGTAGGCAGGGACTCGTGTCTGTAATTGTTTTCGTGAATATGCTCAAATTTTGCTGATTTTTTCTGGATGCACCTATGCTTGTTCTTTGACAATCAGTGCCATCATCTGATGGCATTAGTTGGTGGCGTATTTGATGTTACAACTTAACATCTTCTTTTCCATTCTTTGTTAGATCTGGGTTTGCATTGGGATGGATATCGAGTATCAGTCCTATCATGTCAGTTAAATGGTTTGTTGTTTATACTTCTCACCAGTTAAAAGAATGCTTCACAACTGCTTAGAGCTTATACTAATTACTTGGTTGTGCTTGCATTTACACCCATGAATTTTGTTATCCTAATCGAAACACAAACTTGGAGTGGCTTATATCCATCCGGGTTCAAATTGATTTGTTATAGGCCAAGGCAAAAGTTGGTACTTAGCTTACATTAGAAAGATAATTTGATGAATGTATGGTTAAGTATTAAGTGGATGTGTGACTTAAATAAGGTTAGTTATTTTAAGTTAATGCGGATACTAGTAGAACCTATTGTAGGTCGTTGGTCTCTGCAGCCTAATAAGTGGTATCAGAGAATCCTTGGTTATGAAGGTCCATAACTCCATATCTCTTCACGACTTTGTTGGCATGGGTTAGAGATCAAGGTAGTAATACATGCAATTTAATCTATGACTGGACTTCTTTGATACACATCACCTATGTTGCATAGGTACAGGAATGAGTACGGGACACGATAAATTTGTAAAAGATAGGATGCAAGGACATGACTATATAAATATTATATATATATATATATATATTATATTATATATTGGAATTAATAAGTTATATGAGAACAAGGATGAACATGAAATTTCTATAACATTTTTATGTTTCTTTAATTATATGGAATATAAATTGAAAAATCACTAGTTTTTGAACTAGACATCCAAGCAACCCTTTAAAACCATTATTCGGAAGCTGACTTATGTCCTAAAGTCCTAAAGAGTTTCAAGAAGTGAATATGAAGTGCATGATATATGTCCAAAAAGTGTATGTCAAATATTTTAAATTAGAGCATGAATTGTATAATTGAGTACATGCCCGAATAATTGTAAACATATATGCAAGGATTGTTCGAGTTAGGCTACAGGTATGGGTATGTGTCCGGTACAGGTACGACTTCATATTACAAGTACCCAGGTAACATAGCATGTCATGTTCACTAGCTTGTGTGATTTGGTTCATGTGCAGATTGTTGGTTGACACATTATTTCCTATGGCCATTACGCTGGTTTGTGTTGGCCTTGACTGAATTGAGTAAAGATAGAGATTTTTATGAGAATTATCGAGATGGAAACTTTTAGCAGTGTCATGTGTTGTGTTCATTCAGTTTCAATTTGATTTGATATAATGTTAGGCAAGAAGTGGGTTTAGTCCCGTATTGAGATGATGGTTTTTTTGGTATATGATTAATCCATGTCTCAAATAGAGATAATCCTTCTAAGTTTTGAGTCAATGTGGTTCCAAACAAATTAACCTAATCCATCTCCTTTCGTGGGCGTTTGCAACAGAATACACAAATTGGTCTCAGAGTCATCTCGAAGCCTGTTGCCGTTACATCTCTGGAAGATAATGGGCAGTTGGTCCTATTGCCTCAATGGGATTATGAAGGATGTCCCATCAAGCTCCTCGATCCCATTGTGTGCATGGTATATCTTGATGAGAGGCATATGCAGTGATTGTTGAGTTTTAATTGGGGTTATCCCCGAATTATCTGGCTCACTATCAACACAAAAAGCATACTCAAAATTAAAATATTCATTAATCACCCATTCTCCACCGTCAGCTATGGAAGCGTTACAATGATCTTAAACCTATTAAAAGACGTTCCATGACTAGAGAGAGACCTCCGTCGGATTCAGAATAAGATTCATTGCCATTGTTCGGGTTTCCAGGGGTTGAATCGATATCATGGTGATCCAGGTAGAGCATCGATCTATGAAGTTCTCTGTGCCCTTAAAAGGTTGCTTCTTGGCAGGAAGCGTTTTCACGACCCTTCCTCATCTACATATTTCATGCACTGATGGAGGGTAGATGAGATGATTAAGTTGTGGTGAATCAAGGGTCGTCCGTGAAGCAGTTAGTAGGAAGTCTCTGCATCTATGACATAGCATGTCACCTCTGATATTAAATCCCCACCACGTCTCTTAAGCTAATTCCCAAGTGGTTGACTGCTACTAGAATTGAAATCATATATGGCTGTGCATGAGGTAGACAACCGATGCAAAGGACTTTGAGAAAGTTGAGCACCCTTTAGGATATTATACGGTGGACCCGGGAATGACCTGAATGCGTTAGATTTTAGTTGACCAAATGTAGCCCTTGTAGTACAATGGGCGATCGTGCTTGTTGGTAGGCATTAGCATATCTTCTTGAATGAGGGTAATATTCGGCACCTGACACGATGTCTAGTAGCACAGAGCATACTTGTTCATCTTTTTCCTCGAAATTCGTACAGAACTCCGTTAGGGATGATTTTGCATCGGCAAGAGCATCGCTAAGAGCCGTCCTTGTCTCGGGAGAGAGGCAGAGTAGCTCGTGAATTGTGATACTAGTTAGGATATTGGTCATCTGAACCACGATATCGGATCAGAAGGCCTTGTTCAAGCTTGATTTCTTTTCTTCCCTTGTGAAGGAGCGGGGGCATGACCTGAAGGTCCTTGCGCATCTTGTTTAGGAGTCAGGTCGTACTGCCGTAGGTACATCTTCCCCGATCTCGTGCCCTGCTTAGCGGCTTGCATTGCTAAGGCCTCCTACTCCTGATAAGAATTAGTAACGGTAGCTATATGGGCATCATCGACTTCGTTGGAGAAGGAGATTACGTTGCAAGCTTTAGCTTTGCCATTTTAGATACTTAGCAAGAATTGGATCCCTATCTAAGGTATCATAAATTCACAACCTAATACATCTATGTTCGTGGTCTTTGCTACTCAGCACATATACATTAGCACATATACATTGGTATATTCTTCAACTTTCCTTGCATTAGTTGTTATCACGTCCGTATTTTGTATATTTAGCAAGAATTGGATCCCTAGGTTTAAGTAGGATGGATGTGAAATGTATTAGTTAATCTCAATTAAGTTTTAGCAAATCATATCATAAGCAACAAGAAATTAAAATTCAGGCTCAAATATATGAGCTGTTTGAAAAACTTTCTTCTGCTTGGAAGCATCGGAATGTGAGTATACTCTTGTCTTCCTTCCCTTATAAGATGGAAAATAGTGTCTTTTTCCCCATTATGCTGTAGTAGAGATTTATCTCATATATGTACAAAAGCTCTTTTTTGTTAAACAATTTCCATACTGAACTTTATTGACGTGAATCTTAAATAGTGGCAGAGCCACTTATGAAGAAATGATGTCACGTGACACCCCTTCCTCATGGGTGGATCCACATGTATTCTAGATTAGGGGATGACTTTTTATAGAAAACTCATTTGTCTCCAAGTTGTTAAAAGATTACTCATATAAAATTCATGCTTTATCTTGCTACCCAGCACATCTCTTTTTAATTTGAATCTCACTGATATTGTTACTTCTTCTCAAAACAATATGAAAATAGCCACTCCTAGCTTTTTTTTTTCCGTATATGATGTTGATGTGTAATTAAATTTTCATTTCTAATTAATAACTACATCTCTTTTTAGTTATAGTACTTCATAGTACATTGAAAACTATATATGTTAAAAATAGAATTGAGCGTCAAAGCTGGATAAAATTTCTTTCTTCTCTCATGTTCCTCTAAGAGGTTCCTTATATATTACGGATTCTAATGATTGAAGTTAATTAAATGCAGTTAGATTGTTATGAGTTTTTTCTGCAATGAAGTTGATAAAGAGCAAATTGCGGAATAAAATGAATGATGATTGGCTCAATGATTATTTAATGACATATATTGATATATATGTATTTGATAGTGCTTAATGATGTGATTATTTATTTTTTTACAAAATATGAAAACTCATCGAGAACAATTGCAAATTTTCTTTTAGTTATTAATTATATGGTGACACCACTTTCTAGAAATCCTGGATCCGCCACTGACCTTAAACCGAACTTCTGAACTCCTGACTCATGTTTGACACCTAATTAAACCTAAATATTCAATTTTTAAGTTCAACTCTACATGAAAAGATGTACGAAGATGTCATATTACAAAATTTTGACATGGCCATATACTTTATATTGCTGGCCTTGTAGCTTGTGCTCTGACAATTGGAAATTCTTGCTGGTCTTGTAACTGTTGTATTTTTGTCACGTAAAATTTCCCATTTCTTCACCATTATGCTTTCTCATTTCTATAAACTTGTACTTTTTTAGGTTAAATTGCTCATGAGTTATTTACTGTAAATTCAGGACCCAAGCCTTCTGCACTATTTGGAAAATTTACTTGGAAGATTGAAAAGTTTTCACAGATCAATAAAAGGGAACTCCGGAGTAATGCATTTGAAGTTGGTGGTTACAAGTGGTATGTGCCCAATAGTTTTTTTTAGTTTTACAGCATACAATCTCTTTTCCAGTTCACTTATTATTTCATTTGTCACATCTTATGTTCCTATCAAGCTCGTACATGCAACAATTATTACTCTGATCAAACCAATTCGATTAGTTTGCTCATATAAATTCGACTAGTTTGCAGTTTTGTTAGTACTAATTATAGCTGGTCATGATATGGTAGTTGTAACTTGTAAGCAGTTCATGATAACTCGTTTAGACCAAACCAATTATTTTTGCTAGAAGTAAACGATCTGTCTAAAGTAGTTTCAATAGTAGTCAGGACAATCCATCTTAACATCATATGTTTCTATAAAAGAATATATCTATACGCCCTTGCTTGTCTACTCTGTGCCCTTTGCTGCCTGTATAATGTGTGCTTTTTTTAATATATATGTTGTATAACGTGTTTTAAGTGCTTAATAATCTGTATTTTGAACATTTACAGGCTCTATATTGGTTATCCTTGAGTAGCATATACAGGGAGAACCTAGAAAAAAAAACTTCTCTTGACAGAACTGTTTTGATTAAATTAGAAATGTTTAAATGTTGGTTAGTGCTATAAAAAATTGTTTTCAATAAGTTTTTCCTTTGAAGCAGTTTCTTAATAATACATCTAATATTTGTATGACACATAAAGTTTCTGTTAGATATTATTAGATTAGGAGCAATATGAGATTTAAAGATCACTTATGGAAACAATACTAAACTGTTATAAAGTAACATATCACACAAAGAAGATATCAAAAGTTGAACAGCAAAAGAAGAAGCTAGCCAATTCTGCCTATGTCATTAGCGAGAAAATTACCAACTACTGTGCCCCCAGCCCCCCTCGCACCCCCCAAATGAATTTGGAAGTTATATAAAATGAAGTGTTTGATGAAACAAAATTTCCAATTACTGTGTCCTAGTTATCTTAGTGCCTTACTTTTGAAGCAGTTCTTTACTTTTGAATTGTGTTAGGTGGGGTTAGTCAAATAGAACTCAAAACTAGAACTAGGATGATTTGTGGGATAAAATTTTATAGTGTTAATCAACTAGAACTGGGATATTTATACAAACTTATCCCACCTTTTTTATTTTTTCTATACAAAAATGAGAGTTCTAGTCTCTCAAATTGTTCCAAGTTTTAGCTTGGAACTAGGTGGTAAAGAACTAGAACTCTTATTTATTTTATTGTTTTTCTTTTTTTATTTTTCTTTTTCTCTTTACTTCTTTCCTATTATGGTCATCACCATCATTAGACCGTGTCGTCATATCAGATCTCGTCTCCCCTTAGTCATCTTTGATATTTTCTTTTTACCAAATATTATAATTTTATAGTTAATTTTTAAAAGTAAAGCTTGTATCAATTGATAATTTATTAAACAATAAAATTGAGAGATGAGGGAAATAGATATCAGGGAGCAAAAAAGGAAGGAAAATGTGAAAAAAACTTTTTTTAGACTTGTACTATAATAATAACTAAAAATAAAAAAGCTACAACATATATTATAATAATAATTATCAATATCTTATAGTCTAATCAAAAGTCATGTAATAGTAAATAACATTCTCGTAAACAATTATCAATCAATAATAGTAAGTTTAAAATACATATATAGTATTTATATCCTCAAAACGCATAAATATATACTTCATGATTATAAAATTTAACCCACGTTATTTTATCAAAATATCATGCTTCACAAAATTGTTCCTATTTATCCCACTAGCAAAAAATTGTTCCACTTTAATGAATATCCCACTTTGCATAAAAAGGTCCCAGCTGACTAACACCCCCTTAGGTAACACTGTTTAAAGCAGACAGGTGGTTTAGAGTTAATAAAAGACCTTTGATTACATGATTATATGAGAAATGTAAAGAATATATTTTTATATATTAATGATTAGCTTTATCCACAGATCATACTTTGTTCACTCGTTGCTATTGTTTAGTGTGCTGAAAGTAACTGAAGCAGGCATAGGGGATAGTATATGCCTAAACCAGATACATATTTTGTATGTGGTTAGATTCATGAGGAGGTTAAACTGCTTATATGTTTCTGTTCATACCGCTGAAATGATTTGCAGGTACATTTTAATATATCCACAGGGATGCGACGTTTGCAATCATCTTTCTTTGTTTCTTTGTGTAGCTAATCATGACAAGCTTCTTCCAGGTTTATATCATGCTACTCATTTGTTTACTCTCTGTTTGCTTTTATAATTTTCTGACTTTTTAAATTGTGGACAGGATGGAGTCATTTTGCGCAGTTCACAATAGCTGTAGTGAATAAAGATCCTAAGAAATCTAAATACTCTGGTCAGTTCCCGGAACAAATAATGCTCTTAGTGTAGCTGATGCATGTCTCTGCGTAATTGAACTGCAAAGGGAAACTTAACCTTAAGGTATGTTTTTCAGATACACTGCATCGATTTTGGAAAAAAGAGCATGACTGGGGATGGAAAAAGTTTATAGAGCTGTCAAAAGTCTATGATGGTTTTGTTAATGAAGACTCTCTTGTGATTAAAGCTAAAGTTCAAGTTATCAGGTACCTATTATTTGAGTTTGACAATGTTTTCCCTCTGGCATTGCTTTTATCCTGTGAAAGCTTAGAGTTTCACCAATTTACTATTAACTGAGATACATTATTGTAAATTTATTTGTGTCAAAGAATTGGGAAAATATTCTATTCTTAATTGATTGATGATTAAGCTTAATATCGATTTGCACATATTATAACCATTTATAGAAAGTTCGTTTGAAAGGAAAACTTTTGTAACAGAACAAACTATAATGAAAAAATGCTAAGGAAAATACTATAGTAAACATCCTTCCTCAAACCAGGAGGTTGTACATTTGGTTTTATTTATTAAAAACTTAATATAGGATGAAAACTAATTTGTCTTTAAATTTTCATTTTAGTGGTGAAAATTTGTTACTCATATAATAAGTTGGGAGTGTAAGAGGCTTTCTTTTTGGGGAAAGTTCTTAGTTAATCTTGAGAGCAAGACAATAAATCTAGTGCTACTTGGAATTTTTAGAGACGCTAAAAGTAATAGGCATGCTAAATCTTCTGATGTTCTTTGTTTTTGTTTCAGCTTGTTCCTAGTCAGCCATGTATCAAAAGCTTCTGGCTGTGATAAAAATGAAATGAAGAGAGAAAACAGATAATTGCAGATTTGCAGTATGCCAATGTTATTTATATGGATTTTTTCAATATTAGTTCCTTAGATCTTTAATATTTTGATATTAGTTCACAGAATCATTGTTATTGCTATTAGATCCCGGAAATCATCTATATATCTTGAAATTAGTTCCTCTAGTCAGTTTCTGTTAAAATGAGAGTGGAATATTCCACCAACTTTCATAGAATTAGTAGTTGGATAGTTATACCCCTTTCATTATAAACCCTTACCTATTAGCCATATAATATCAAACCCATTTTGTTAAAACCCAAACCCAAACTCATTTACAACATCTTCTCCAACAGTTCTTCATGGCCTTCCGCTGAATCAATTCCCATCTCGACCGTACCATGGTCCACCTCTCCTCTTCCTTCCCTCTCTGGAAAGCTATACCATCTCGACCAGTTTTCCTGTCCCACTTCACCTCTCTCCTTTAATGGCACCACCCTGCTCCTCTCTGACAAAACTACTACAACTCTCTCATTTAATTGTAGTGACTATAACCTCGTCCTCCTCAACTTCTCCAACTTCCAAATAGTGCATTCTCTTGTCAAGCTAGACTGCATGACCTCCGCCCCACAAAAAAAAGAAAAAAAGAAGACAATGCACAAAAGAAGGATGTAACTATCAAAACCTCATGATACATCATTGCTCCAAGGCCAATTTCTATCCTAAGGTCTTATCTCTTCTCACTTCAATCCCACTGGATTTTGTGCCTTGATTTTGGCGATCAGCTTTGATTTGAGACAATCACTTAGAGGGAAAACACCTCCTTTCTCATAACATAGGACTGTTTTTTTGGGGTAATAAGTTAATTATCCGTCCCTGGTCAGACTAAACCCAACCATGGTTGAATGAATTGGACTGTAGATCTGACGGAGGGACTACTTTCAACATATATAGATGATTTGTGGGACCTAATAGCAATTACAATGATTTGGGGGACTTTACTAAAGATTTAAGGGACGAATATTGAAATAACGCTATTTATTTATGCAATGTGAATAGTTTTCCTGGAAACATTTGTCTCAATGTTCGTTAGAATAGTCCAAATACAATGTGACTTAGGTATGTAGCACGGACACGGATCCGACACGGCCATCCGACACGCCGACACGAGGCAAATCCTAAAAAATACATAGGATACGTGTGTTCGACACGTGTGTCCGACACAGACACGACATCCTAAAAAATACATAGGATACGTGTGTTCGACACGTGTGTCCGACACAGACACGACACGGCTTCATGGTATGCGTGTCCGTGCTTCATAGTAGCACCACCATGAAAAATGTAATAGAGGCTGCTACCTTGGACCCATTCCTTTAGAACGACCCACCAATCACCAATACAAGAAAAAGTTCGGAAAATAAACAAAAAGTTATGCTCACCCCAAAAACTTCTGATTTCGAGATTACTAAGTTATAGCAAAGCGGCCACATTGTCTCTCTTGGATCTGCTGTCTCTGACATTCTGTTGTCTGTTCTTTTACATTTATGCTATCCTTCCCTACTGTAAGGACTAGCTCTAGTAAAATATAATCAAGGATTCATAAATAGAAAGAACTGCAGAATGTGCTGGAATTAGTTTTATGTGTATGAGCATAATGACCCTCATGATATGCCTAGCTATTTACAATTTACAGAACATTATTGATGCAGGGTAAGTCAAGATCAGATTTGAGTTAAGGATGTTTTTCCGTAAGGAATTGATTTTCTTCAGTTGAGATGTTAGGATATTTAATTAGGAATTGTTATTTGGTTTTATGTGTTAGTTAGGATATAGTAATGATTTTTGTTATCTTTTAGTTAGGGCTTTGTTTAATCTAATTAGGATTTTATTCTATAAATAACCATGTACTTCTTCATTTGAAGGGGAGAGAAAATTTGGGAATAAAAATTATGAAAGTTTAGCATGCCTAGCTCGTAGGCATGTGTACCAAGGTGTGAATCCAAATCTGGTTAGGTATTGCATGTGAAACCGACCTAATCCCCAGTTATATAAATCTTTTCCTTTTTTCCCCTTTAGTTTTCAGATTTCGATCTACAATCAGTGTTGATTGGCTCTGTTCCTCCGTTGAACATCAATTTTGGTGCGGTCTTGTTACGACTTTCTTAAAGTGCTTCTCTATTAAAAAAAAAAAAACAATCTGCCCAAGAATGTCAAATATAACAAGATATTTGAATTGAAGATCCTCCTATGGTTTTCTATTTCATCATAAAGTAGATTTTTTTCAGACATAATGTGAATTACCAAGTAGATCAATTGAGTGCTCAAGTTTAGTTCTACCCGCTTTTATGTATTTCATAACATTCTCTCCTACCGAGTTTGTATAAGCAGTTCTCTAGATTTTGTCTTGTTGCCTTTGATCCTTTTTCTGTACATTCTGCTTTCCATTTCTTTAATTATCATATCACAAAAAGGTTTCCAGAGAGAGTTCTTTTGCACCAACATACTCATGTTCTTACAATCTTCGTCATTTCTTTGCATGTTCCAAGCATTCACACTTGATAAACCACTAACACATGGGTGGAGAGTATCTACCAAAATGTTTTATTTGGGTAAGCTCAAAAGCTTTAGAACAGAACTCTATAGGAATGTTGGGCTTTGAAGCAACATTCACAGACATTAGTCCTGTGCGTGCTTATTCTTCATGCGAGAAGTCATACAAATCCCGGCTGAATTGGTTCCTTTCATTGGAGAATATTATCATTTACTGTAAATGTCTACATTGTAATGCATACATATAGTTTTCTCTTATTATTAAGTCAAAGATAATAACATTACTGCACTCTACCTGCTGGTTTCATATATTTCTCGTAAGGCTTAGTTTCAATAATTACATTTCTTTTTAAACATTGGCTACGGTTAATTTTTAATCTTTGCTTGAGGCTTTTTAACTATTTTTGTTGGCAATGAGGACTCAAATTGTTCCTTTTCATAACTGCATCTTCTGCATTTTGGTATATGAGGGAGAAAGCACATCGCCCATTTCGTTGCCTTGATTGCCAGTATAGGAGAGAATTGGTTCGTGTGTATTTGTCGAATGTCGAGCAAATCTGTCGCCGTTTTGTTGAAGATAGAAAGGGAAAGTTTAGCAAACTGATTGAGGATAAAGTTAGGTGGTCAAGGTACTTATTCTTCCAAAATTTGTATTCCCCAGTTTACTTCTATTGTCATGTGGGTTTTTGGCCTTGATATTACTGAAGTTATTGCAGGCTTACAGTAGAACCTTGTTTGGTGTGATTGCAGTTTCCGTGCTTTTTGGTTAGGAGTTGATCAAATAACCAGGCAGCATATGTCAAGACAGAAAACAGATGCAATATTAAAAGTTGTTGTAAAACACTTTTTCGTAGAGAAAGAGGTCACATCTACCTTAGTTATGGATTCTCTGTACAGTGGTCTGAAGGCTCTTGAATGCCAGAGCAAGAACCAGAAAGGTCAAACAAAGCCAGTGGAAATGGAGGAATTATCAGATCCTGTCATCCATATTAAGAACGATATGTTTGTTCTTGCTGATGATATTTTATTACTGCTTGAGAGAGTGGCCTTGGGGCCTGTTCCTCTTCAGCCTTTAACTCAAAAAGATGACAAGGGTTCACAGAATCGTACCAAGGTAAATGTGTTATTTTATTATTTTCTTTCTCAGTTGGTTTGTGTTGTTTGCTTATTTCTGTTTGTATTTTCTTTATTTCACTATTTTATGATGCTCTATTATTTTACACTGTTCTTAGTTTTTCATATAATCTGCTTGTTATTGTTATTTTTTGCCTGATTTTTCTCTATTCTGCACTTCTTTACAAATGAGTTGTCAGGCAGTCTATGTTGTGCAGGTTCGTACTAGGATTTCTAGTGGTACTTTTTTTTTTGCTATCAATGTCTACCTTTTTGGTGATATAAGGCTATATCAATTTTCTGCGGATTCTCAAAAGGGATTAAGAACAAATATTATTAATCATGTGACAAAACTCCAACTTTTTCAATGATCTTCACAACTTCGTCTACGAGCTGCCTTTGCTCTCCCTAATTTCATGTCTTCTAAGATCAGTGTGAATATTTTTGAGTATTCTAATTGTACCAAAGCTTGTGAAACAATGTCTCAACGTTTTAAAAGACACATTTATAATTCCATTGAATTCTAGTCAAGTACATCTCTGTGTGTATGTACTCGTTTGCATGCGTACATGATTGCATGTGAATGATCACTCTGCCACATGCACCAAATGACATGTAAGTACCTACATTTACTCACTTACCCATTCTACCACCACCACATCCTTCAAATTCTGTCCACAAAAATTCGAGATAACCCATGTCAAAATTAAAGACAAAAGTAGTAGAAAGACCCTATAAATATTTGATTTGGCTCATACTAGCAAACTAATTAAATCCAAACTCTTCCTTAATGGGTAAGTAGCCATAATTAACATATGACTGTGTCAAACTATGGATTGTTGCTAATCTAGGATGAGATTCATCTACTTATATTTAAACTTTGGAAGTCAAATGATAGTTATTTCTTATCAGGCATCATGCTTGGCACAGAGCTACAACACATTATATTTGCTATTATTGGGATGGACATGCATCACAACTTAATATACAATAAGCGAAGTGTGTGTCTGCATGTTTATGCTTTAAACCAAAATGGGATATGAAGTTCAATTACTATTTTACTGAAAGCTCAATGATATTTGCTCGTTTACCATGTTTAAAGTTTTAACAAAGCACTTTATGTATTTTTCTCTGTCTAGATTTTCTCATGTGCTTATCTATGAAGTAGTGTTCTGCTATTTCAGTTCATTTCATCTGGTGATGCTTAACTGTTGATTTAGGACACAAGTTCTGGAGAGGAGTTTAACAAAGATTCCATTGAGCGTGAAGAAAGGCGTCTAATGGAGTTTGGTCGGAAAACTTTGGAATTTTTTGTCCTAGCACATATCTTCAGGTAATGGTCTGGCACTTAATGCTGTCAAGTGTAATCAGCTTTTAGTTGATTAGGTTGAAAATCCAACTAAAACTCCCAAAAACCATTCCCAAATCATGTGGACATCTTGTGCTTGGATGTCTCATGTGAACAGGTCCTGAATATATACCGACTTGTTTTTCCTGTGGCTCGTTGATTTTGATTTATATCTAGTTCTCCTTTCTGCATGAGAATCAACTAGTATTTGTTTAACTTCCCATGCTTCCACATTTGAGGGAGGGAGGCAGGTAGGGAGGGTTTTGTTTTCATCTTCTCAAACAAAAAAAGTAGCTCAATTGAGATTGTTGTCAAGTAGCTATTCATTTCCCCCTTTTCTTCCATTATCCTCCCTCTTCCCCTTCCCTCCACCCACAATGTCTTTCCTATTTTGAACTGTTTCTGCATTCTCCCCTTATCTGTAATATTGCGCATCTTACTGATCTCTCTCAATTTTTTTTTGTCTCAAGAGGAGGATGTTCCTCTTCTCTGTGCAAATTTTCAAACAAGCCCCACCTTGATAGCTCCCTGACTTGTTAATAAGTTTTTTCAAAAAGTGTTGTTTACATGCATAGGCTCTTGGCTGCACAACTTCAAAAAGTGTTGCCTGCAAAACATGACACAATTTCGAACAAATCTCTCCCTATTTCCTTGCATTCACTCAATTACTTGTTCATCTCTATAACTCCATTCCTTCGTTTCCCCAACCATCATCTGTAGCTCCATTGAGATTTGAAGCCGGTTCCGAGCGACCGCCCTTTCATCTCCCAAAAGAAAGTGCTTCGTTCTTTTTGCTAGGCCACCCAATGGACAAACCCCACTTCATTTGTCTCTTTAGTCAATCCCTAATGTCTCTCTCCTTAGATAACGTTCTCCATCGAATGACACCTTTAGAGAGGCTTTGGGTGGAGGAGCACAATGTTTGGGAGTAGAGGAGGGAGAAGTGTATGCGGGTGAGTATAATCTTGTGTTTAGTCTCATCTTGCTTGTGAAGCAGCTTTATTTAAGAAGTTAGAACTGATAAATTTATATTTTTATATGAAGTGATAGTTACTATGAAGAAAGTTGAAGAATGTAACTTACATTGGATATGAGGATTGAGGAGTTTCACTACGAAAATAAGGCTTGATAGAAGCCTTTCGTTGCTCAGCGGATATCACCAGGATGAGTATCTTGGCGGGAGCCTCAAGGTTCTGGATGGTACTGTGAGACATGACAGATGAGCGAGAGGCGCTAACTAGGGCTGAGTTGGCGAATGTGGAGGAGCTGTGGGGGGCGGGGATGGTTCTCTGTCGGCCAGTAGACAATTGACGAAGCTAGAGGAGGAATGATGGAGCCATCTCTTGTGAGAAGTGACTGAGAAGCTCAGACAGTGGAGGTGGTGGAAGAGGAGCCATGACCACTGGTGACGAAGGTGGTGGAGAGACAACTGGATAGGAGGAGAACGATAGGCGACAACTTGATGCTTTATGAATCGAATCAAGAGGACTGATTTGGGGGATGACTTGATCTGCCCATTTCTCCTCCACCGCCTCCATTGTCGGCGGCTTTAATCGATCCTGTTCCTTTTATTACTTATGGCATTGAGTCGTCACTTCTCATCCTCCTATCCAGTCATTTCTCCACTACCACCTTTGTCGCCGGTAGCTATGAGTTCCCTTCTCTCTTCACTGCTAGAGTGTCCCCATCCGCTTCTATAGGAGACGTCTATATCGTTCCTCCTCCGGTTTTGTTGACTATATGGGCGCTCCTCATCTGCGTGGAAGGTTACAACCCAGTCGTTCCGCCACAAGGTGCTCTAATGTTGGCCAAGATGCAGAGAACCATACCTGTCCTAGTAGACCCTCTGTCACCCTAATCGTAGCCCTAGCTGACACCTCATGCCCATCTACCGTGCCTCATTGTGCTAGTCGGAGCCTTAAGGCTTCTACAAGCAGAGTCATCCCGGAGATTCCATTCAAGCAACAAAAGACTTCAAAATCTTCTCTCATTGCGGATCTCTCATATCCAACCGAAGCTATATTCTTCAAGTTTATTCATAATAACTATCACTACGTGTAAAAGTTTGGATTTATCTATTCTACAATCATATCAACTTTGTGTTTCTAAAACTTCTAAAACGAAAATTTGTGTTCATGTTATTTAGTCCTATATTGCTAATGGGCTAGCTATTGTACTCTCCTATTAGTATAAATAAAATGTAATAGAGAAGGTAATGAGGAGCGGGAGTATAGTGTTTTGTTGAGGATGATTATTTGGATAAAATAAAATACAAAAATAAATATTGAAATTACACTCTTCATTTAAGAATACAAACGTGGGTCTCATGCCCGGGCATCTCACATGCCTAATACTATTGTAAGTCACATGCAAATTTCTCACAAATATTTTTCTCTTCCCCTTCTATAAAGAAATACAACTCTAGGAATAAAATAAAATCTAATCCTAACTAATAGATAAGATCAAATAACACATTAACAAAATAACAACCAATCCAACCTAAACAACAAACTCAATTCTATCTAAAGATGTTAACTAAAGAAACAACAAATCATTAACAATAAATTCTAATTCAATCATATCAAATCTTTTTGCCAGTTTTAGATCCAATTTTGTCCTGCATCAAATCTCCCCCTTTGGAGACACTTGCACCTCGAGTTTAATATTGAATTGCATTGACATACTTTGAATTGATGCATTATCGATGTTGAAGCTGAAACAGTGGATCTCTTTGGCTCTGATATCAGTTAATGAGGAACGGAAGCCTAGTAATTTGCTGAGGATGATTATTTAGATAAAATAAAAAAAATATTGAAATTACGCTCTTCATTTAAAATAAAAAAATACAAATGCGGGTCTCACACCTGAACACTTCACATGTCTAATACTAGCTGCAAGCTACATGCAGATTTCTCACAAACATTCTTCTATCCCCCTTCTAAAATGAAGAAATTCAACTCCTTTTATAGAAATAAAATAAAATTTAATCGTAACTAATAGATTAGATCAAATAACATATTAGTAAAATAATAACAAATCCAACCTAAACAACAAACTCAATTCTAACTAAAGATGTTAACTAAAGAAACAACAAATCCTTAATAATAAATTCTAATCCAATCATATCAAATCTTTTTGCCAGATTAGATTCAAATCTATCCTGCATCAAATCTCCCCCTTTTGGAGACACTTGCCTCCGAGTTTAATATTGAATTGCATTGACGGACTTTGAATTGATGCATTGTAGATGTTGAAGTTGAAACGTTGGATCTCTTTGGCTCCGATACCAATTAATGAGGAACGGAAGCCTAGTGATTTGCTGAGGATGATTATTTAGATAAAATAAAAAAATATTGAAATTGCACTCTTCATTTAATGATAAAAAGATACAAATACGGGTCTCACGCTTGAACACTTCACATGTCTAATACTAGCTGCAAGTCACATGCAAATTTCTCACAAACATTCTTCTATCCTCCTTCTAAAATGAAGAAATTCAATTCCTTTTATAGGAATAAAACAAAATCTAATCATAACTAATAGATAAGATCAAATAACAATTAATAAAATAACAATCAATCCAACCTAAACAACAAACTCAATTCTAACTAAAGATCTTAACTAAAAGAAACAACAAATCCTTAACAAGAAATTCTAATCCAATCATATCAAATCTTTTTACCAAATTTATATCCAAATCCACCCTGCATTAGGAGGGATCGATTATCTCCTCTTTCTTTCTAGGATTACTGTAACATGATGGTAGTGCCAACCTAAATTTCTTCCTCAAACAAATTTCAGCCATCCCTTTCTTGTAAACCCTAACCCTAATTCCCCCAATGGCTGGTAGCTGCCGCCGCCACCTCCGCTAGGCCGCCTCCCCTCCTCTCCAACGTTGCAGCCCCCTCACCTTACCCTTTCCTCTCCTATCCCCAAACCGAATCCTCTTCGATCTTCAGTGCTAACCACCCTCTCCTCTCACACCCTAATTCCCCAAAAAAACCCACGCCCGATACGCTCGCACCCTGTAGGTCCATCGCCCTCAAGCATGCCATCAAACTTCAAGTCCTTCTAATAGACGAAGTCTTATATATGAATAAGTTGTTTATGGGCTAAATATCACTTAAATACCTTATAGTCTCTCCCAATTTGCACTTGTATGCCTCACTTGTTTTTGGCAGCATTCATATGCCCAAAAGTTTCTAAAATTGCACTTAATACCCTTTGTTATGCAAACATGTGAATTTTCCCTCGATTTCCCATGTGACACTTATGGTAGTTTTAGACCTTTTTCACACTTAATATTTGTTGAATTTATTGTTGTACATGCTCTAATTCAATTTTAAACTTACCCCAATTATAGTTTAGAATTGAATTATGGTGGGTTAACAATAAATTCAACAAACATTAAGGCTAAAAAGTTATAAAATTAGCTTGTGAGTGTCGCATGAGAAAAACCAAGGAAAATTTCTCATATTTGCATAATAGAATGGTATTAAAGTGCAACTTTTAGGAACTTCAGGGTATATAAGTGTTGCCAAAAACAAGTGAGGGTACATAAGGGCAAAGTGGGGGAAACTATAAGGTATTTAAGTGCTATATAGCCTTGTTTATGCTTGTAAGTGCTCTTTTTTCTTTTTTATGAAAAATATTTCTGTTCAGACGAATACTTTTTTGCAGCCAAACTAAATCTCCCAGATATTTTCTAGATATCCTATGGGTTGTTTCTTGTCATTTGTACTAACTTATACATACTTACCTCTTTTTGATTTCATTTTGGTGTTTGTGTTTATTACATGTTATTTTGCAGCAGTAGAATAGAAGTTGCCTACCAGGAAGCAATTGCTTTCAAGAGACAAGAAGAGCTTATTCGGGAGGAAGAAGCAGCAGAGCAAGCTGAAAATGGAGTAAAGGCAAAGCGTAATGCTACAGAAAAAGAAAAACGCTCTAAGAAAAAGCAGGTTATCATATTTATAATATGCTGTTAACATTTGTTGTGTCAGTCTTCTAAAGTTTCAGCAGATTATTTTATGTTTTTTGTGGTTATCTAATATGGGATGCCAGCTTTTAAGCCTATTTTCTGGGTACACTGTACTCAATAGTTTCTTAACCATGTTCACCTGATACTGAGGTAAGCAGCCAGCGTCCTACCCAAAGCTTTTCCCCATTAGATTTAGTCAACAATGGTGATCAGTTCCATATTGTCCATACTGTTGGATAAAATTTTTACACCAGGAGTATGAAGGGAAGAAAAAACCAACTTGACGTAAGCTCATTCAAGCAAGAGGAATCCTCCAACAAGGCAAATAAAGAGTCTGGAGGAAGTTGGATGATAAGATTTGTAATAGGGTACTGCACTTATATGAAGATGGAAACACATTATACAATACACAACCTTATCATAACTAGTATTTAAAAATATTAATTTCCCATTATGGCTAATAATTTCGTTCTAAAAAACTACTGGGTCTTGGAATTTTCTTAGGATTTGGGTAGCGTCAACATTTTGATAACAAATCTAAATGTGTCAACCTACTTCTGTTGCAAACGTTTGTTATACATCAGTATACTGTCTCAATTCAGTTGTTTCTATGACTCTATCTTCATGGAAATCATTTACCACTAAATTTTGGATGTTCCAGATTTTCCGTTCTTCAGTTGAATACCAACTCTAACCTGGTTCGGTCTAACTTCATAGCTGTTATGATAACTTTCAAAAACAATCAATGGACAGTACATAAACTGTCAATAAGAAAAAGAAGCGACATCCAGATATAATGTTGTCCAGCTTCAGTTTACATCCACAATAGTAGGAGGAGCATAGATTCACTAATCAAACTGCGAGGAGTACAATGACGTAAGAGCTCTTGGCTCCATATCCCAATATACCCTAACTCATACAAAATCTCTCTCAAGGAAAAACCTATAGTTCTCACCAAATCAAAGAGAAGGTATTTCTATGAGAACAGGTCTTTGATATTTGAATCGAAGTCCAAAAATTCTCCACCTTGACTCAAATACATCTTCACAGAGTACCTTATGAAGAAACAGCTTGCTCACTCCACCTTCTCTAAATCCCTGAAGGGCATCAATCGTAACATACACCCATCAAATTTAGCAATGCTAGAACTAGATGATTGGAGAATTCATCATCAGCGTATCAGCTTGATTATTCTCTATAGTCATATTCTTTAGAAGAATACTGTCACCCTTTTCTACAATGTCCTGAACAAAGGAATAATACAGTGGATGTGGTTTATCCTCAAATGATAGTTTTGCTTTTTGGCTAACTTGATGGAACTTCGTGTATCGTAATAAATGATAGGGAAAACTGAGGTCGTCAAATAAGCCTTTTAACCAAATAACTCTCTTTATTGCCCTACTGCCATGTATTCTACCTCGATGGTAGAAAATGCAACTTGGGCTGTAAAGTAGTATTCCAACTGGTAGCACAGGCCCAAAGAGGGTAAAACCAGTAAGTATTGTTCTGCCAAGATCTTCAGCATAATCTGAAGCAGCATATATAACAAGATCATCATTCCTCCCAAACTCCAAATGAACATTTGAAGCACCCTTCAAATATGAGTATCCACTTCGTTGTCTGTCAATGACCCTTATCAAGTCAAAACATATCTGCTAACTACATTGACAACAGGAACAATATCAAGATGAGGATGCGCACACGTGCATCATTTTTTCTTGTGTAGTTTCTCTTCACTCTTATGTTCTTTCCAAACTCTTTTGCATCTTCTTTTTGTCATTCTAATTTTTTATCTTAATTTTAACATATACATAATTTGTTTGCGGAAGTACTCCAGGCTAAGCAGAAGCGGAATAGTCGTAAAGTCAAGGATAGAGCAAGAGATGAGAAGCCTAATAGGATGATGCAGGATAAGCTCCAAGAGCAAAGCCCGTCCGATGAAAGTTTTTTGGAAGAATTCTCTTCTAAGAGTAAGAAGGATCTACATGTCAGTGAAAAGTTTGAACCCCAGGTAAATGCTGCTGATTCATCTGACACTGGAGAGGACGTTTCCGAAGCAATTGAGCCTGATTTAGAAAACAAAGATTGTAGTCCCATCAGTACAGAGTCTAGTAAGCCTGTGCTACAAAATGAACAGACTGAAAAGAGGAGCACTTGCTTGGTGGATGATAGCTCCTCGACATGTTCAACTGATTCAGTCCCCTCGGTTGTGATGAATGGATCATATAAGGGAAACTCTATGCAGAATAGCGCAAGTCAAGCATCACATACTAGGTGAATATAATTTTGGCTTGATGCTAGTGTTTTATTAGTGCAAGACTTTGTAGTTGTATCTAATTAAATGTAATCATGCAGGGGAAAGAATCAGCAAAGTAAAGAAACACACAATCAATCATCCAAGACTAAAAATGTAAATAGTACCCCTGGTAGTTGTAGGACTTCTGGACCTGAGACCGAGGCATCTCTCTCCTTGAATATTAGGAGACGATATCTTGAGCAACATGGTACTGAAAAGGTGAGTTTAAATCTTAGTTGTGACTTTAAATGAGGAAGAAACAGAAGTCGATGCCCACTTACTTTTATGCACTATGTTATGCATTATTGTCTTTACTCCAAAAGTAGTCATGAATGTTTATGCACATGCATGGTTAAAGTCATAAATTGCTGATATATTTGGTTGAGTAATCCGTGTACTTTTATACTCCTATTTAACCAGATGGTCTTAACTACTGCAGAAAGGAATTTCAAAATATGCATGGTTAATTCAGTTACCTCAATCTTCGTTACATGAAATTCCAAATATCCAAAAGAACCGATTAGTTGTTTTAGTTCTCTATTAAGACAGTTTTTTTTAATTTAAAATCACTTTGTTCTTTTTGTTGTCAAGCAAGGGTTATTTCTGTATACAGGAATCAGTTATGCAGATTGAAAGAATATAGGAACTCATGGAGGTTGGAAACAGAACAAGACTAAGTAAAGGACTGATGTAGGATACGGGATATACCATACTGAACAATTATTCTTTTTGAACATATACAATTTTATTTTGTTAGAGAAATAATTGCTTCTCGAAACATCCAGCTTGGATATTTTTATGTGTAAGAATGGTGAAAGAGGATCTCAAGTATTGTAAATACCAACCACCTCCCATCCAAAGGTCATTATATATGAATCAATATGCATGGAAATGAATAACACATACAATATGACACATTACGGACATGAAGATAGAACAGTTTCAGATGACAACTAGGATAATCAACATATGTGTTACTTTACTGACTAGGTAGCTGACTTATTAATTTTTTCCATTAATATTTTTGGTAATATGTGGTAGATGGTACTTCAGAATCACTACTCTTCCACTTTAATTATCTTGCTTTTTTCTTGAGCAACATTCTACTCAAGCTCACAACATGCAATCTTAGAACTTATGTAAATTTCATGGATTTCCGATTGTCTGTTTCGAACCAAAAATATGATGATGAGATGCATCTCTCGTTTGGTCTCAATAATTAAGTGATGGGTATACAGTTCTTTTTTTCCTAAACTGAGTCTCATTTTTCCTTACGGTTCTCTATTTATGTTTAGTTACATAAATATCAGTTTCTGACTCATTGCCTTTCCTGACATTTTGTAAGTTTTCATGAGATAGCTGCATCTGATACATTTTTCTAGTAGGAAATGTTAATTATGTGTATGTATCTTTTTTTCTGTTTGGTTTTGTTCATTTTAATATAACAAAGACTTTCCCCATACTTTTCTCATGCGTTATTATGGATAACTCAATTTTCCAGGGTAATAATTTTTTCCATGCATTTTTTTCATGATTATGCAACAATGCTTGATGTATGAAATACTTCTTTATATATGGCATGTATTATGTGACTACCTGGTGTAAAACCTTAAGCAATTCTTTTAGAAAAAACTGTTAATTTGCTCGAGTTATGCCAATGACTAATATTGATGTTGGGATTTTTTCTTGAATCCCCTTCTGACCAGATTTCACTAGGATTCTGATAGATGACTCTGAGAAGTCTTTAGAAAAACTCGAGAGTTGTTTTTAACTGTTCAGACAGATGTCAGGAAACAAGTCTCCAGATGTTTGAACTAGAATTAAGATTTCTCCATCCTTGTAGCAGTCTATAGATATCTGTGAGATGAGGATTTTGGAATAACTTCCGTAGAAATTTGAGATCTATCAATTGTCAAGGATTTCTCCTGATTCTAAGTCTCTTTGTTATCGGTTTTTAGTAGTAGTAGTAGTAGTAGTAATAATAGTAATTGCCTGAGGACATAATGCTTGCTCCGAACATCTTTAAATCTCTGTATCTGTGATTGTCATCTATCTGTGCTTTAATCTTGATATCAGTCTATTTGTGTTCTCCATACCAATTGCAATATTATGGATTTGTTGTAGGAGGAAGTTGTGCTACAAAAGGAACTAAATGTCACAGATCAAATTGATGAGCAACCCTCCAATTCAAGGACATCAGGTACATCGTTGGCTCCAATGACTCCTACCAAGAAGCCACCCTACATTTTGTTGCACCAGTCAAAACATTCTTCTGAAAATACACTTGAAGCAGTCACTCTTAAAGAGTCACATTCCAGTAGCTCAACCCCTTCCACTGTATCGGCTTGTGAGTTATCAAGATCTCGACAAGTCTGCACCACATCAAAGAGCTCTTCACAACAAGCAGCATCTATATCAAGGCCTTCTAGTGCCCCCCTACCACCACAAAGGCAAACTGTTCCGGTTGTGTCCACTGCTCAGACAATTCCTCAATTATCACGCTCAGTAAGCGCTACCGGTCGAATCGGCGCTAGTCCTTCCGCGCTCGCTCCGGCTTTTGTTCCTCAATCATACAGAAATGCCATAACGGGTAAGAATGATGCAGATCCAATCCCTCTTTGCTACAATCATCCGTCCCTCACATTGGAATCCATTATGGGCAATAAGTACCAACCGAGACATGAAGAGATGGATATTTACACTTCAAGAATGCCTTCCGGTATGGTGTCAGATGAATTTCCCCATCTTGATATCATCAACGATTTGCTTGACGAGGACAAAAACATCGCAAAAGTTGCAGCAAACCTTCATTATCAACAGCATCAATATCCATTCGACCAGCATTATCCTCTTAGTAGCCATAATCATCTTGATCAAACTGAACAGTATTATGGTTCCTCGAGCAGTATTATGCAGCACTCACAAATGGATCTTTCTGCATATAGTAACGGACAGCTTCAGGGATTGATTCAGAACCAGTGGCCTTATAATTATGCTGCTGATTTATCGACGTTCAATTTGGGGAATGCTTCGGATGCGCAGTGTTCATACCGACTTCCAGATTACATGTACTCTAGGCGAGGAAACGGGCTTTGACGATGAAATAAAGGTATTGGCGTCATATTTATGTTGGTGTTGAGTTTTTTTTGGTGTTTACAACAGAAAACATCTTGTAACAAATTTCGTTACATCTGTTCTATGCCTGTTGCCGAGGTCTATCTAGATTGTCCTCTCACTGTACACCATTCATAGCAAGAGCACAGAGGGTGGTCAGCTTGAGCTACATCCTTGTCAATTGTAGTAATCGTATTGTTCAATGTAACACTAGCCTTTCTATCTATGCCTAACGATATTTTCCTTCATTTTTACTAGGGTTAATTGCAGATAGACCCCGAGTTAATTTTCTTTCCCCTTCGTTTCTACCCCCTAGGGGCTTATTCTACATAGAGCCCCTCAGTATTGTTGCCCTGAACTCACCGTCAATGTTAGTTTCATTGTTTTAGATATACTGCCTGGTTTTTTTCTGTTCCCCCCTAGTGAAATTTTTGACATATACTGTTCCGATGTGAAATTGGGTAGTCTTATGGGAGTAGGGGGTCAAAACAAATTTAACAAGGGGGGTCTATCTGCAACAATGAAAATGCAGGGATGGTTAAGTTCAGAACAGTGGCAGGACGAGGGATCCATGTGCAACGAACCTTTTCTGATGTATATTTTTTATTGTAGACCTATTGGAAATTATTTGAAAATTTTGACATGGCCCTATGTAGAAACTAATACTTGTTGGTTGGACTGCTAGTAAAAACCCAATGTGAGAATTGGGGGAAAATTTTGCAACATCAAGGTCTAGAGGGTAAATTTGCACATATAGAAGATTTGAGGGGTGTATATATGCAACAATTCTTTACTTTTATATCTACACTATTTTATTTATACCCACAAAGTCCAAATGATGTTGATTAGATTTTGCTTTAGCTATTAAAGCTCATTAAGCTTAGATTCATGCCTAATTCTATTCCATTAGCCAACTTCATTATCTTTGAATTATTATCTTAACGAGAAAGGAAAATTAGATCCATTTCTTCTGAGCTCTAATAAAAAGAACAAATTTTGTTGTTTATGCATTGATCAATAAGGAAAGAGTAGATAGAGAAGGAATGATATTTTATTTTGCATTTGGTTTCCATAATGGGACAAAGCAGATGATCCACTCCTTAAAAGCTATTTATAAGATTTTTTTGATATAAGTCATTTCAAATCTTTAAATATTTTGAATTAGTCCCAAAATTTTTATATTTTGAAATTATACCCTCAAAATTTTAAATTTTTTTAAATTTGTCCACTAAAGGAAAGATTTGAGAAACTAATCTCAAAATACTTAAAGAGTTGCTGGACTAATTTTAAAATACTTCAAAAAGCTGGATGGCTAATATTAAATATTAAAATACTTAAAAGAGCTAGGGGATTAGTTTCAAAATCGAAAGATATGGAGGACCCAATCATCTCAAAATTTTGGGGTCTAATTTCAAAAAATCAAAATTTGGGGACTAGTTCAGAATATGAAAGAAATGTAGAAAATTTCCTTATTATATATGAGGATGCGTGATGTCTTCTCAGCTTAAGTTGCATTGGTTTTCATTTTATACATCCTCCATCAATGCATATACAAGTGGTTCGGGTTTAAAGTTACTTAAGTTCAACTTTTGCACTTTGTAAGGCTAAATGACACTTAATACCATAAAGCACTTAAGTACCTCAAGTTGTAAAGAAACGACAGAAAAATACTTTGAGTTACATAAAGTTGGTAAGTTACTACCTTCCGCTAGTTACAGTTACACATGTGAATATTCGTTGGAATATTCCCATGTGACTCTCATGTGACACATTTAAGTAAATCTTACCCTTATTTATATCTTTATTTACTATATCTACCATCCCCTTTCTTCTAAAATACCCTATTCCATTAAATTTCAGATATCAAAATCTCATTCCCTCTTCCATCTTCTAATTCATGTCAGGAATCATGAAATCATGCTTTAGGGTTTCAAATACTATTTCAGTCTATGGGAAAAGCTTGGACAATAGAAAACTATGGGAGACACTTTTTAGCTCTTCAATTTATTGTATGACATCAAAGTGTAAGCTTTTTTTAGGGCAAAGATAACCCTTTCCTCCCCAAGCTCAATTGGTGATTAAGGAATTGTTACATGAAAAAGAGTTGTCTAAGGAAGAGATGGTCAATGTTGAAGGAGAAAAATTGAGAAATTTGGAAGAGAAATTGAGAGAAAAGAAGATGAAATTAAGGCTCTGTTTGGTTTGAAGGAAGGCATAGGAAAGGAAAAGAAAGAGAAAGTAAAAAGAAAGGAAAAGAAAAAGAAAGGAAAGTGATATTCTTTTTATTGTTTGGTTAGAAAGAATATTATATGGAAAGTTAGAAGAAAATTTATAAAAAAAGTCATTTTCTCTTGTTTGGTTACTTTTCTAAGAAAAAGAGGAAGAAAATTATCACAACATAATTTTAATCCATACTTTTTGGAATTAAATTTAGATTTTAAATAATTTGTAAAAAATAATTAAATTAAATTGTTATTCATCATATTTTCAAAAAGATTACAATTTACCGGACATGTTTGCACAATCTTAACTCAAAAAAATTTAATCAAATTTACGATGACTTTAATTTGCGTATAATCTTACATGGTCTTGGACTTGCAAGTTATTCATAACCTCAGGTGAAGAAAGATAATTCCGAATAAGCTCTACACAATGATGCAGTTCAAGCATAATTATTCAAAATTAGAATCATTCATATCCTGAGAAGTAACATGTTAATATAAAGTAAATATCATGATATTCCTAATATAAAGTATAATCCATTTCTAGTCACAAAGTCTATTACAATCAATTTCATATAGAAAATCTTAACCAACAAAATCTATTACAATCAATTTCATATAGAAGATCTTAACCAACAAAATCTATTACAATCAATTTCATATAGAAGATCTTAACCAACAAAGTCTATTATAATCAATTTCATGTAGTCTATTATAATCAATTTCATATTGAAGATCTTAACCAACAAAGTCTATTACAATCAATTTCATATAGAGAATATTAACCAAAGAGAGAGAGAGAGAAAGATATGCCGAAGTCTTTAGTTTTTGACTTTAGTGAGCCCATCAAAACATCAATCTCGCATCCTTCATCCCCTGAAATTAATTCAAAAAAATTCAAATAAGTAGAGGCAATATAGTTGTCTTCTACTTTTGATCCAGAGCAAAGTAACAAATTTAATATTACGATGCTAACTTGCAACCATTAATGGAAAAACAGAGAGGCAATATAAGAGAAATCACAAGTATCCATGAGATAGGAAAGGAATTAGTTTAGATGGAAAGTCCAGAGAAGAAAAGGGAAACAATGTAACACTATCTAGCTGAAAATCTAATCCTCAAAAGAGGATAGTATATGGAAGGTCCAGGGAAGGCATGTGAATAAAAGAAAAATAGAGATGAGAGTAGAAATAGTGTAACACTATCAAGCCAAAAATCTAATCCTCAATAGACAACACCATATGATTTGCTATGTACAAAAGAACTGTAGTAGTGAAAGAATGTAGCTAGCCTAAATGCTTGAGCAGAATGGATTAACAGAGACCCATATTTCGAGACATTTTTCCAACCAAATTAAGATCATGAAAGAGCAAAGGTAAAAGAGGAAGACGAAAACATTACTTTCACAGGCTAAACAAGCAAGTTAAGCATCATATACCATGAAGAAAGAGATGCAACAACTTGTACCTTGAGCCATCAGCACTATATGCCATTGTGGTGCACCAGAGTCCAACAGCATCATAATCTACCCTACATCCAGAATTATCATATAGCCATGCTTTGATCTTTCCATCAACAGCAGTTGAGAATATAAACTGCATACAGGTTTAGGGTGAGATGATAAAGGCATTGCATTTAGGAGCTTTCCTTAATAACAACTCAATCCATTTCCCAGAAAAATCAAAGATAAATAAAGAACATATTCACCAGTCTTGTAATAACTAATTCTACATAGATTTTCAAAACAAAGTCATGTCATGAGTATTATAAGTATTTTCTCAGTTAGAAATAGCATTAGAACTTAAAGAGGTTCTTGTTGGACAAACCTTAATTGTCTTATCATCACCACAGACAAACATTGTAGAAGTTCAAAAAAAAATTTACATGTTTTTTCAACAAAAGCATCAAGTGATTCTGAGAGGCAATTATGACATAGCTTAAGCTTACATGACTAAATAATTTAAACGCTAATTTTATATAGGCCCTATTGTAAAAGTGACCAAGAGGGCACCAGTCAATGGCAAGTAAATTTTTTTAATACTCACACCCGATACACCAGTTGGCAGTTATACCAAACACTTTTGACCTAAGCAAATTCTAGTGAATCCCACTGATACTAAGCCGTCATTCTTGCTATGTCACACTTCAATATGGCATTTTATTGATATCCATCTGATGTTATGTCTCAGAGGCATACCCAAAGAATAAATTTAACTTTTATATTGGTTATAGATTTAAATAGGGTTGTTCCTATAAATAGAGTTGTAAACTGTAAACTTTTTAGAACCTCTTTCTTTCACTTTTAATGACCAATACTTGAATATTAATGTAGCATTTGGATATATCACTCATGCCCTTTAGAATTCCTAAAGCTTTTTTCTGTGTCGGATTTTAAAACTTTTACCTATTGAAGTTAATACTTATCTACCAATAACTTTGATACGTTTTACATTCTTCACAAATAGAACAGATATACACCTTCCATGTATCTATCAATCCATTCTACATAAATAAGACATATCTGAGGTTTATAGACGGTATTCAATACTTCTATACTTTCCTTGAGGAAATCCAGGAAAAGTGGCACACGATGGACAGCGTGATTCCATTTACTATGACTTCAAATGTAATTCTATAATCCCTTATCTTCTCCTTTAAACAATTGATTCAGGAACATCAGAGTTACAGATGCATTTGCTCAGCTTTGCCTTGACTTTTGGTCATGCCAACCCGATTATCACTCGCACGGCTTCTGAATCCCTTGTGAGTTTGTTGAGGCAAACAACCTTGGGCGTGTTTCATCTAGGTTTATTGTTCTTTAGTCCTTTTTCCTTTTCTATTCTTTCCTTTGTCCCGGAAAATAAAGAACATCAGAGTTATTGCTTATATCATATAGAAGCCGTGAAACTATCTGCTTCATCTGAATATGAACGTCAAATGTAATTTTCCTTGTTTTCTTTCTCTTCAATTGTTTTGTTTTTTCTCATAACAAATCAGTTACTTCTACATTTCATTTCCTTTCTCCACACAGTAGAGCTGTGGGGTTCACTGTTTCTGCACTCTTTCTTCACATTATCTTGAACTTGTTGTATTTATAATTTAGTTTCATATGGCCACAACGTATCATGAGGATTTCAGAATCTAGATTATACGCCTAAGTACCAATCA